GTCTGAAACCCTCCGCACAGAGTTCTGGAGGTCATATCCTCTTTTGTCCAATCTCCGGCACAGCGACCAGGTTCTCTTTGCTTTGTGGCGATTGCAAAAGTAAGTCATGCTGATGTGGTGATCGCACACAGATACATGCGAGCCTAATCTGAAGAGCATGGATGTCGAAGATCAAGAAACCTCAACGTTGACGCAAAGAACAAGATGGAACCCACGAACCCGAATGCAAACACGTACTCGAAAACAAACGCCCAAACAATCCCAAACATCTTGTGACACTCTTGTAGGAGACACTCTTGTAGAACGCTCTTGTGGGACACTCTCGTGCGACAATTTCGTCACTCTGTGGGACACTCTTGCGAAACACTCTTGTAGGACACTCTTGTGGCCCTTGTGGGACACTCTTGCAGGACACTCTTGTCGGACACTCTCGTGGGACACTCTTGTGGGATGCATTCTTGTCGGAAACCCTTGTGGGACACTCTTGCGCACTCTTGCGGGACACCTTGTATGACACTCACTCTTGTGGGACACTCTTGTAGGACACTCTTGTGGGACACTCTTGCGGAACACTCTTGGATGTCACTCTTGTGGAACACTCTTGCAGGACACTCTTGTGGGGCACCCTTGCTGCAATCTCTTGTAGGACACTCTTGTCGGACACTCTTGTCGAACACTCTTGTGGGACACTCTTGTCCGACACTCTTGTGTGTCACTCTTGTCGGACACTCTTGTGGGACATTCTTCTAGGTCACTCTTGTGGGACACTCCTGCGGGACGCTCTTGGCTCTTGTGGAAAACTCTTGTAGCATACTCTTGTGGGGCACTCTTGTATGACACTCACTCGTGTGCGACACTCTCGTAGGAAAGTCTTGCGGGATACCCTTGTAGGACACTCTTGCGGGACACTTTTGGAACTCTTGTAGGACACTTTTGCGGGACACTCTTGTAGGACGCTCTTGTCGGACACTCTTATGGAACAGTTCTGTGGGACACTCGAGTCCGACACTCTTGCGGAGCACTCTTGTAAGATGCTCTTGTGGGTCACTCCTTTGGGACACTCACGTATGGCATTCTTGTCGGCGCTCTTGCGAAATACTCTTGTAGGACACTCTTGTGGGACATTCTTGTAGGACACTCTTGTAGGTGGGACTCTCGTGGGGCACTCTTGTAGGACACTCTTATCGGGACACTCTTATCGGGACACTCTTGTGGGACACTCTGTAGGGCTCAGTAGGACACTCTTGCGGGGCACTACTACTAAAGTCTCCATGCCAAAGTCAGCCGTCACGTCTCCAACACTAGCGCTTCGTTGAGACTTGCTCCAAAAGTCACACGTGAAGTCTGCAAAGCGAGCGTTTCGTTCGAGACTTCTTCCAAATTCAGTCGTCAAGTCTCCAAAGCGAGCGTTTCGAACGAGACGTCCTCAAAAACTCACTCTGCAAGTCTGCAAAACGAGCGTTTCGTACGAGACTTCCTCCAAAGTTCACGCGTCGAGTCTCCAAAACGAGCAAGCATTTCGTGCGAGACTTCCTCCAAAAGTCAAGCGGGAAGCCCATCGAAGCACACACATCAAGCAGCCCTTCCAAGCAGCTTCGCGATTCCAGCCCCTCCAAACAACACCCGCTCACACACCAATCCCAATGTCACAGCGACATTCACCTCCACCACAACTCGCCACCTCACGATCCCCTGCACCTGCCACGAGAATTTGCGCGTCCACACCTCCAACACACGCAAAGTACTGCGCCTGCAACGAAATGTTACCTCCACCACACCTTGCAACTACATGCGCGCGTGAAGTAGCGAGGAAACGTGTGGAAACGTGAGAGGATGAAGTCTGGAGGATGAGTTCACTGCGCAGGCGCAGCGTTTTGTGAGATTCACAGCTTTCTTCGCAGTCAGGTTTGCAGGGTGATGTCTTTGGGGTGTTGGATGTGGCTGTGACATTGGGATTTGATGTTCAAGGTGTTGCCTCGAAGCTGTGTTCTCGTGACAAGTCTCAGCTTGGTGGAGCGACAGGCGCTCAGAACGGGTGTTAATTAAATGTCAAACGTGTGGTGTGGTGCAAGTTTTGCTGAATCTACAAAGCTATGATATTGTCACATTTCGTGGCAGGCGCAGTACTTTGTGACATTGTGCGGGTTTTGAGGTGTGGAAGTGCCCTTTTTCGTGGCAGGAATCTGACACGTCATGCTTCCATCAAACACCCTCTCCAAAAGCTTCGCCCAATTGTCAGCACCATAGCGCTCCACCTGCGGACGGTTGCGAACAGTTGCGGACGGTTGCGAACGCTACAACAACGAGTCGCGAACAGGAGTCTACCCCCAGACCCCCAGAGTTAAACGAGAACCTTTGCTGGGCACAGAAGCCACCACGCATTGTTCCATTTCTCATGGATCTAGAAAGTCAAATACATTCATGAGCCCATTTGGAGAGACCAGGGAACGTGCCGGCCCACCAGGAGTCATGGGCACAGCACTGATCATTCGGCTCAAGGTTGAAGCGGTCGCCACCTCGCCCTCTCGATCCACGCGCCTCACGAAAGGGAAAACGTCCGATCTGTCGAGTACATGAGGACGTTCGGTGGGATGTGCTGCGTTCGGAATACAATTCTTATACGATGACGGGTACCATGAATTACAATGATATCTTCTCAAAATGAGAAGCAACACAGCAAGTATCACAGCTTGGTTCGTTTACGCCAAGCATCTCCATGGTTCCAGTTGGAAAAAAAGGCAGAAGGACAGTGAGGGATCTGCAGCCATAACGTGGGATGGCATAAAGCAGCGAAAGCCTAGGGAACTCAGTGCATGGCAATTGCAGCCCTTGTGCTACAAGGCGCAAGGCACTAAGCTCATGCAAGAGGACAACCTCTGTTCTCAGTGGCTGACTGATCCAAAAGGATCTCCTTTCCTCAGCGTGTGGTCCCCAAAACAATCATTCCCTTTTCAAGCTGTTCCCACAAGGAGGGATCAAATGTAGAAGGTCTTCAAGGCTTTGGGAAGTCTCCGTTGCTTCAGTCTGGTTGATGAACTCAGGGTTTTGATGGCTCTTCATGGTGCCTGGATGGTGAACGGATCACCAAGTTTTGCAGCAAGAATGTTCGACAACAAAATGAAGGGAACAATGCAGAAGCAGCGGGCCACACACACACACACACAGGTCACGGTGCCAAGTCTTTTTCTAGGCATCTACTTTGACTGGGCAGCCGGACGTCGCATGTTCAGAAGCAGCAAAACGTGCGCAGGGAGAAGCTTGTGGACCTCCTCGATGAAAATGTTGGGCATTCCTGATTCGAACTCACCTGAGGGTGATCTGCTTCAGGAAAAGGAGGAAAGCTTCGGCTGCAGGACTTCACAAAAAGGGTCGGTAAGAGCCAAGGAGAGCTATAGAATGTAGCGAGCTAGTAGGCTAAGTAGCTAGTAGGAGACCTTGGAAGCGGCTAGATGCTTGAATGCAGAAGAGCTCATGCTTTTTCCAAGACCCCTTGCATGATTGATTTGGCTCCCAAAGTTTGAGAAAACTGCACATTCTGGGAATTTTGGCCAAGCTACGCCAATCCACTTTCACCTGCCAAGGCACAAATGGTTCGGCCACAAAAATTTATAAAAATTTGCATCATAATCACATGCACCAAGCAAGAAAGTAGAAACAACTTGCTCATCAAACAACTCGCACTGCGTTCAACTGCCTGCTGGATGTCTTCATCCTTTACAATTTTGTTTGGTGCGGTGACATCCCACCTCAGTGTAAGAGAGCGGATCCAGCTCGATCAATGCTTTCCTCAGTGGGACTCAAAGAGGCAAGCACAAAGTTTGCAACTTTCTGCGGATTCGAAACTTTTGAGATGCGAAAATCAGCAAGCCAACCAGCCCTTTCTTCTTTCGCTTTTGCAGAAAAAGCATCTGTCTCACACGAATAATTACTCAAGTACAAGGTCATTACAATGCGAATACTCGAGTACAAGGTCATTAAGCCTAGAGCGTTCAGCCAGGATACTTGATATGATCCATCGATGGGTGCGCCAAAATGATGTACTTGTTGCGCCCCGACAAGCTGGCCTCACAGCAAAGCAACTGCGATCCTGGTTGAATACCAAAAATGTAGATGGAAATCCGTTTTTTCACTAGCACCTTCTATATGCTTATTCACTGCATAGCAGGGTTCAGCGTTTCACGCATTCTTTAGATTGACTGCTTTCATGGTCGCCTCTATCGGATTCCATGGATTCGGGTAACATCCCCCCTCACCTCGATCTGGTGCGCGACCAGCTTCTGCAGGTCTTCAGGTAGGCTATCCTTTTTGGCGCAACAACATGGATACTTGCCCGAACTAGTTCAATATCGGCTGATGACAATACTGCCATAGAGAGAAGTTATTATGAGAGTCTGAAATTGATGTCTAAGCATTAAAAGTGATGTTGAGCCGTTGAGCTGCCTAAAACCATTGTCTTTGTTTGTTGATAAGTTTAATCTTTCGCGAGGGAGAAATAAGCGCATAGACAGGCCCCATGTTCGATTGCCTAGCTTGTCCACAGTCGATTCCCCATGGCCTCATGGGGCCTCTTCCGTGGCATGTTCGCCATGGGAGCGAGAGTTCAAGCGTGCGCTGCGTGACAACGAAGTCGAAATGGAGCGAAACTCACTGAGCGAAGCAATGCTCCGTCTGCAGTTGCGTCCAGTTGCTTGGCATGTCTGATACGTGCAACTTGTCTCCCTAATGTCTGCAACTATGTGACAATGTGGGGTGGATCTTTGTGGATATGTCCCGTTCCCATCGATGTGCTCCTGCTTGCACCTTTCTTGAGAACTTCTCAACGAAAGCATGGAGCATCATGGAGCCAGAGGACAAATGAAGCTGAGGATTCTGGCACTTTTGGACAAAGCAAGCTGAGGATTCGCTCCGGCCCTACTTGGGAGTGCACATGACAAAGGAAAAAACAGGGTTCGATTTCAATCGATAGCTCCCTCGAATCAAGAACACCCGAGTCCGGTGTCCTGGTAGCCTCAAATTCAGGATTCTGAGCACTGCAGGAGAGAAGCTTCTCATAGGCCGCCTGTCAGCATGAAATACCTTAAAACCAGCTCGAAAAAGATCCCTCCACCGCGGAATTAAGCTTGCTCGGTTCATGCCCCATTCTTGTACCGAAGGCTGTGACGGCGGACTAAAAGTGCTCCAGGGAAGAGGGGCCAAGCCATGCGAAAAGGTACACTCCCTGGAAAATGGCCCCTCGGAAGGCCGTTTTACTCTACAAACAGAGGGTCTTCCACTTCCATGTTAGTTCTAAGTTCTAAGGAGTGTATGCAGGTTCGTGGTGGTCGCAGTCTTTTGCCTTTGAGTAGCATCGAGCAAAAGAAGGCTATGACCAATGTCCTCTTTGATTCCATCCAAAGAAACTTGCTCCGAGCAGTTGCCTCACATGCAGCAGCACGAGGATTGAAGTGGCTGGACACCTGAGAGGCACCCGTCAGTACTACACCATTGCAGTCTCGATTCTCAAGGAAAACCCCACATGTCATACTTACAGAATACAATGCAATGTTGTTTGCCCTTGATCGGGACAATGATAACTGTTGCCAAATAATTCATGTATCAACTCCGGCCTCGCTAGAAGCTGTTGTCTCCAAGATCGAAAAGGAAAAGTTGAGGTAAGCCATCGTTAGCCGCTATCCATTCAGAAGGAGTGAACATCCAGAACGGATTCTGGCCTTGTTGTGAATGCGCCAGTGCAAAGCAAATCTGCGCATTTCCTGTCATCCAACTTTGCAGGGGGCATAGCCCCGTCCGCCTACCCAACTGTTGCAAATTGAGTCATCTGTATGTGTGCTGAGAACGTGGCAGTGAGGAATGAGAAAATACGTGCCACAAAAATGATCTGGTTTTGAGTGATTGTCGACCTCTGATTTGGCAAATTTCGAGAGCAAAGCTCCTCAGGTACTGCAAAGCGGCGCCGTTCCCGAACCCCATCGTAGCGGTATGGCCGTGGGATGGGGAACCTCAAAGCCAGATCTTTGATCTGAACAGCTTGAATTTCTTGAACCACACCTATTCCCACTCAATATAGCATTCACATTTTTTGTTTTGAGGCACAGCAGTAAGGCTGTAAGGAGAAAGAAGTGGGCAGTTGCAGTCGTAGTCAAGGCCTGTGCTTTCCCACTCCTGCTCCTGAATTCCCCAAAAAGCCTAAAGTGTATGCCACCTGCAAGTACCGTAGTTACTGTTGCAACTGGTCGGTTGTCTGAGACTCCGGAAAGCCATTCAATATCAAACACCGCAAGACGTTCTGCATCCGCAAACAGCAATAAGTACACAACTCAAGGTTCTCAGTATCGCTGCTGTAGACCTAAGCTTCTAAGGGCGGCATCTGCTGGGGCAAAAGAATACTGTACATGATACATCATGATACCCGAGTGTTGCTTGTTGTGAAGGATCTCTGAGATGACCCTCTACACTTGGCTGAGAGGGGTTTGAAAGCAGTGCTGAACTGGCAAACTACTCTTGAGTCATGATGCAAACTTGGGTGCCACTATCTGAATGAAATCTTTTGAAGGCACTGGTGGTGAACTTGTCAAAGTAAAATCAGCTCCCAGTTAAATATGTGCCGCCACTCCGGGTAAACTTGAAAATATATCGAAGTGGGTTGACATGGTTTCACATTATCTCAGAGCAAATTTCACAAAACAACTAGCGTTCCATGTGATTCTATACATAACTATGTGCTTGGTCTCCCGACTCTCAGAAGACGGATCCCTTCGATGCTCTTCAACGCTGCTCGACAAATGGGACAGTTTCGACCTGTCGATTGCACTGCTCAAGGGTCACATCTTTCAACCCAATGCTCCAACAACGCAGTCGCAACCGCAACGCACAGCCCAGGAGTGTGGCTGAACAGCCCACGCGGCCCACGTGTCTTGGTATCGAACCTCCAACTGAAGCACGCAGCGCTTGCATCAGGCCTCAAAAGGCTACTATGGTTGCATGCCTAAAGCACAAAAAAGAGAGCCTTTGGGTAGCCGAGAAGTGAACTTGCGAAGGAAGTATGTTTGATCTGAATCAGAATCAATTGAAATTTTGCAGTAGACAGAATGACGCACACCAAAGAGTCATGCGAAAGCCAGGAAATGTATATAGTAACATAGTATATATTTGGGCAAAGATCGTCCATTGAAAACTATCAGAGCTTTGTCCTTTCCCCAGCAGTCAAGCAAAGAAAGCATCTTAAGTTCTATGAATGTCCTGTATGTGTTACTTGATATTTGTGTACTCTTTGATGCTTGCCACGGGCACTGTGTCCAAAAGCCAGGACAGGAAAAGAACGGTGCTTATGATGTGCATGCTTGTCTTTGTCTGTATCTGTGTGTGTGTGTTGGATCGGCATTCGTATGCAGCTTGTTGATTACTTGCTGCTGCATAGCACGACACTACGCAGCACAAAATCTGGCATCTTGCATCTTTTTACATTTTGCTCAAGCTATCGGGTCTGGGCATTCAACACACCTTCTCTTCTGTGCAGGAAATTCCTGTTGCTCGCACGTCCCAGGGACCCTACCATCAACTGGAATCTTCCAAGAAGGGTGCATCTTGACACATTGCGAGCTGTTCTCTGCGCTCCCTGAAATAGTTTAATCAGGATGAAGTCAAAACAACATGTCACCGGTGAGAAGGTGTCAAAACAACACGTTGTGAAGAGATTTGGAGAAGATGTCATCACAGTTTTGGTTCTCACTCAGGTGAAGAGTGGAAAATACCTGTGCGTCTTCGGCCCACTCTACTGTCAGCGGTTGGGTCGTGGGACATCTTCGTCCTTCAGGTGAGCAGATTGTCGATTGGGTCCCCCAAGCCACCTGGACCTGCCTGCCTGCCTTGTTGACGAAAGAAATGGTACATCCTGCCTGTTCTTTTCAAGTGCGCTCTGGATTTATGCTTGCTCAAATGCAGGTCCAGCTCGTCGTTCAGCCCCACAATCTGCTTTACATCCGGCAAGTAGTGGTCCATCCTAAGCAAAGTGCAATCAGCTGTTTACAAGCTGTTGGGCTCTGCTTGGAGTCTCTCTGTTGTACGCGGTTTATCCACGCAGCACCTCCACCAATGTGTGTGTGTCTATTCCTCTCTGCTTCTCTCTCCAATCTGCCGATCTTCCCCTCTCACTCTCGGCATGGAGTTGCTCCAAGAGATGTTTGAGGAACTTGAGACTGTGAAGCTGACCTTGACCTTTAAAGACAGTCATTGTAGAGACTGGATGGTTCAACCAGGTTGACCAAATTTATCCGAGGCTCAACTTTTTGACCCCTTCCTGTAGAGTCGCATGCGATTGAGAGCAGCCACTGCAAGAACCCACCATCCGAAGGTAGAGGGAACCATCTCCATGATCAAAACCTGAGAGATGAGGATCATCATGTTACTCATCTACATCCTGCAGCTTTATGAACATACTATATAGTGGTTTGCAATGTCTGGTTCAGGCACACTTTGGTACATGGTTCGCAGCTTATATATCAGGAATGACTACTACCAGTGTCTGCAGGTGGGCCACGTACAAATTCGACGTCTCCGCCATCCTGCTGAACAAACGGCTTGACCCGCTCCTGTCGAAGCACATCGGAACACTAAGCAACGATAAGTCGGATAATCTGACAGGGCTGGTGTGGTGCCCTTGACTGTCATTCTACTCAAACAGGGCTGGCATTGGACCCAATCTTGAGAAAGGAAGAAAAAACTGATATTGTGATAGAATGGGGTGATAGAATGTGATACACATGCAGCACCTGAGGAAACAAGAAAAGTATAGCAGCGTCCAAGTGAGGACACCCTGATTCTCAATCACCGGACATTTGATGAGGATTGCCTACTGGAGTCCCGGGACATCTTGTGACAAGTACAAAAGCCCCACCCGGAGACCGCGACAAACATCGGGCTCGAAGTCGAGAACCCTTCAGCGACGGCTTCAGCCATTCTCCCACCTCAAGCAGCTCTAGGATCTGCGCCTCGATGCTTCCTTCTTCAAAGTCCTCCAGAGACGGAAAGAACTTGGAAAAGCGGGAAAGGTTACGCAGAAGTAACCCTTGAATGCATTTGAAAACAATGCCAGACCAAAGGTTTATACTAAGCGGCCTTGAGAAAAAGAAAATAAAACATACTTCTGGGTCATGGCCACGATTATACAACCTTCTGGGTGCTCCAGCCTGCTCTTGCCAGAATCGAAGGATACAACTGCAAATACTACGATCTTTTTTTGCGATACGACGATACAAGCTGCGTGAAGCTCCTGAGGGTCAACTGTTTCCACGGCATCAGGATCAACAGCTGCTTGTCCAGCCTTGTGAACAGGGATGCGAAGCCAGCCAACTTGCTGAGAAACCAGTTAGTCGCGCGAATCAGCAAAGCGCTCTGGGATTGGAATGACCAAGCTACAAGTATCTTTGCTTCCGGGGCTCGCCTCAAAGAACTTGCTGATTTCGGCTTCGACCACATCCTGGCCATGTGAGCGTTCAAAAGCCTGTTGCACAAGAGTTTATATATATATATAGTGGATGTTTCAGTCAAGACTTTTCCCATCCTCCCTGTCATCAGCACATTTATGGCCTATGGCTGCCATGAGCAAATGGTTACACACTCTATTGTTCACATTTCATGGAATTGGCAATCGTGCTGCAAAATCTAGGACTTGAGACGGCACGCCGAAAGCACGAAATGCATCTGCTGCGATGTCCTGAAGTTCCTCCCAGTCTGCCAAGGTGGCTTTGGTCACAGTCACATGCTCCGCAGCGAGAAGCACCTGAAAGCAGCAGGAGCACCATGTCTGACAAGTGCCATATAAAAATTGTCGGCAAACCCCAACAGACTCATGAAACGGCTGGCCCAATAGCAAAAAAATTGGGAGCATTTTGTCAATTCTGTCACGTGCCATTTTGCTGGACCAAATGCATCCTAGAATCACTCACAATAGCTACAGAAGACTACAATTGGATGCCAAGGGTGGCAAAAAATACAGTATGCATCGGCGCAATCCTTTTAAGGTCATGCTAGTTCGCGGCAGCAGAATGTGAAATACAAATGCCTGTCTCATCGACACTGCTTGAAGCACTGGACCCTGCCTCTCGCACTCCGTCTACTTTCAAGAGTGACTTGGCCAAAGGTGCCGCGAGGGCCTGTGGCTCCACAGCAAGCCCAATCAACACACCAAGCCGTACTCGGGCTAGTTCAAACAACTGATCCGGCTGTTCAACTGTTCAACTGTTCAAAAGGGTTGTGCTTGTATATGTCTTCTTGGTCCCCTTTACCTGCATCAAGCTGAAGCGTCCGTATGCAAACTGGTGGTGCACGCAAATTCTACAAGGAAATGTTGTGTACGTGTGGCGCTATGCACTGGTCACACAAAGGTCTGCCTCGCTTCAGATATACTGTGTATGTATATATATATATGTATATTCTTGCTATGTGAGCATGAGCACGCGGGCTACAAATGCATTGCAATGCATCTTCCAAGAAGTGTCAGGCATTCAAAGTCCCTAGAAACAATGAAACAACGGTGATTCAATCTTGTCCAGTCTTTTGTGAGTGCTTCTGCCTCTTCGGCACTGCGAAAAAGCATGGTCCTGCACGCATTTGTGGGTGAACGGCAGAAGAGGCATGCAGATATCATGGTTTACATCCCTTAAAACTGTTGCAGCTTTGACGTGTGCTGAAAAAATGCTGATCTCTCGTGGCATTAACGAGTCAAGCGTTTGCAACTACCTGAATCTATTCTGTGCACTGATACAAACTGCTCCAAGTGAGTAGAACATGACAAAGTCTCACAATTCCAGAAAGGGTCAGTATCAATCTATACTGTTGTACCAAGTCGAACCATAATTGCCTATTACCTACAGTTTGTCTGCATATGTATATATATATGCAAAAGTGTTGCACATCTGCTGATGCCAAGCTCTTGGGCGGTCTTGGTGCCACGTCCAAGGACCTCGCCACCCTCTAGAACAAACTTCATGGACTTGGGATTCGGCGTGGCCTTCAGCAAAATTTGCCAAACAAATACCAAGGCGTTCTGTAAAATGCCTTCTCGCACTTTGACAAGTCACCGGAGAGCTGGCACGAAGTATGAAGCAGGAAAGGTTGGAAAGTACCCTCAACAGGCTCGTTTCTTTGGCTGTCAATCAAACCATGCAATTTTGATCAATTTTGCACTTGGCATGCGAATGGCCTCGGCCATCACCGACACTGACCGCCCAAGATGCCTAGGCCGCTTCGTTCACAAGAAAGACAGGCAAAGCTGTAAGACCTCTCTACTGTCCAACGTAAAAAACAAGGGGAGCGTGGACTTACCAATCATTCACAGTCTAAGTCTAAGAGCGTCAAAAGGAGTTTTCTGTCGCAGCTGAGCTGATTCATTCCTGCCACCAAGCCACCCTCCCAAAGGCATGAACCTCCGCATAAATGCCATTGCTGCCATCGAAGTGTTTGCTGGACTGAACACTCTTGATCCACTTTGCCCCAGCAATTGCCAGACATGAAGGTGGCGCTTGGTTGCTGCATGTCTGCACTTCTTAGCTCGCTGCCTGTGTGGAGTTCATGCAAAACTTCAATCCTAGGTACAATAAATACTATATAATATTATATAACATTCACTATTCATATCTGTCTTTTAGTCACTAGGTCACTGGATACAGTAGACCGTACCTCACCATGCTGCTAGCACCTCCAGCAGACAAAGAAGCAAACAAGCGAGTCAAAGAGCTTGGAGCGGAATGGCTACGCTATGCCACACAGGCCAGCAGCCAGCACAAACTCAGAAGGCGACAAGTAAAGCACAATGTAATAAAGAGGGTTCCGGACGTGAATCAGGTTAGATTCAGTACTCTTGCTTGAATAGTCCTAGGTAGAAGAATGTGGACTTCCTTTGGGGATTATCAAGATCCTGGACAAAAAAACTCAAAGACTATGCTGGTCTTGCCGAGATCGAAACAATGTCGGTGGAAAACATGCCCGCAGAAAGTGATCGCATTGCAACCTGACACAAGAGATGAGCACATCAACGTCTGTTGGCAGGATCTGTTGCCAAGCCCGCAAAAGATCGCTGTTAGTTTCAAATTAGCTTTCTGCTTTGTAGAAACTTCTCTCCTTCCGCACCCCGCCTTCTTGCCAGCATATGGCGCACTTCTCATCCTTCACTATCCATGCCGCACGTGCCAAACCAACGATCTGCAAACACGCAGGCTGGTGCCTTCTACAATAATAGGCGCCCAAAGCAATGAAACATGCGATGGGTGGCACCCTTCAAATCAAGGTAGCATGCACTACGTTGATCGAATTGTGGATGTCAAGCTCGCCTAAGCTTACCTCACAAGTGATTTGACAGCAACTAATCCTTCCAAAGCTACTTTGAGATACAGCGGTCGCGAACTAGGGACGATTTGCAATGAAAGCATGGGTAGACTGGCAGATGGTTGCCAATACTAGCCAAATGGGCTGAAAGGGTTCATGTCTCCTGATCTTGATGTTCGAAGAGATCCTCCAAGCGTTCAGTGCTGAGCTCTGTGATGGCCTGGCAGGATTTGCTCAGCTTGAATTTAAGCCTCACTTGATGTTTGTCCACCTGTTTTGTCATGCATGGCTTTGGTCCGGGGCCATAGGCAGTATAGGCACAAACAACTGATGTGTTGACTACGAAGCTGTTGTGTTGACCTTGTGACATGCCCTTGCTCCAAGTGGCCCACCATTCAATGACGCCTCTGCAGCCACATCCACAGCACGGTTGCTGTTGGCGGCGTAGAGAACACAGCCCCTGGCCTCATTTGAAGTTTGAGAGTCATTTGAGAGGGTGATTGCCTTTCAGCCCATCCTACTCGCCTTGGCAGGTAGAACGCGTTGGATTAATTTCACCGTGCTTTTCTCGATAGTGTTGGATATTTTGTCAAGAACAGGGTCCCCAAATTGACCAAACCATTGTGGCTGAAGGGACATACATACATACATACATACATCCATGCATACATACATACATACATACTATACATACTATACATACTATACATACATACCTACGTACATACATACATTACATACATTACATGCATTACATACATTACATACACACATTACGTACATTACATACATACATACATACATACATACATACATACATACATACATGCACCAGGTACTCCTGGACAGTGTGGGTAACATGCACACCAGCCCTTCCATGAATTTGGGGTTGATCACACCTGTTCCGTAAGATGATCTTTTGTCGCGCACCGGCTCAGGGCTTTGTGATCAAGGGACACCATACTCAGTTGCAGGGGACACGCAATCAGTACAGACCCAACTAATAATACAACTCAGATCACTTCAGTAGTAGTCGTACTGGGCGGCCCAAAACTGGAAAACTTCCGGGGCCCGAGGAGTAGTAGTAGTAGTAGTAGTAGTAGTAGCAGCTGCGGTAGTAGTAGCAATAGCCTGGCCCCTTCTTAGTTAGGAGCTAGGAGCTTGGTGGGTAACATTTTTACATTTTTGGAGGTAGAACCTTCTGTTGGCAACCAATTAACTCAAATGATAAAATTGACCAGGACCACTTTTCGCATTGTCATTGTCATTGTCATTGCCCATTGTTTTGAGAGTCATTGAACATTGACAATGATTTTGTTTCAAAGTCACTGCCACTGCCACTGACAATGTCAATGTCACTGAGATGAACTGGCCAGGAGTAGGAGTAGTAGTAGTAGTAGTAGCAGCTGCGGTAGTAGTAGCAATAGCAGCGCACAGTTCGGGGCCCGACCTTCACAGCCCAAACCTTGGAAACTTCCGGGGCCCTAGTAGGAGTAGTAGCGGTATACTAGTAGTAGTGGTGGTGGTAGTAGTAGTAGTAGTGGTATAGTAGTAGTCGTCGTGGTCGTGGTCGTGGTAGTCGTAGTAGTCGTAGTAGTCGTAGTAGTCGTAGTAGTCATAGTAGTCGTAGTAGTCGTAGTCGTAGTCGTAGCAGTAGTAGTAGTCGTCGTAGTAGTAGTAGTTGTTGTTGTTGTCGGGTAGTACTAGTAGTAGTAGTAGTAGTAGTAGTAGTAGTGGTAGTAGTAGTAGTAATACTGCGGTGGTAGTAGCAATAGTAGTGCGCAGTTCGGGGCCCGACCTTCGGGGCCCGAACCTTGGAAACTTCCGGGGCCCTAGTAGGAGTAGTAGTGGTACTAGTACTAGTACTAGTACTAGTACTAGTCGTAGTCGTATAGTCGTAGTCGTAGTCGTAGTCGTAGTCGTAGTAGTCGTAGTAGTAGTAGTAGGAGTAGTAGTAGTAGTCGTCGTCGTCGTTAGTAGTGGTAGTAGTAGTACTAGTAGCGCTAGTAGTGCTAGTAGTAGCAGTAGTAGTAGTAGTTCTAGTCGCGGTAGTCGTAGTAGTAGTAGTAGTAGTAGTAGTCGCGCTTGAACTTGATGAACTTATAAGTTGGGTTATAAGTTAAGTTATATGTTCTTTAAGTTAGGTTATAAGTTAACTTATTGCGTAAGTAACTTATCATCTAGATGTGAGAACATATAAGTTAGTTGCGTCTAGATATAAGTTAGTTATGGGTTTAGCTATTTTGAACTTGAACTTAGTTTGAACTTGTTTTGAACTTAGGTTGAACTTAGGAGCTAGCAAAAACTAATGTTTTTATCGCAAGTTTTGGCTCGAGGAAATGCAGGTTTTTGTACGTAGCGCGCCATCAACATGGAAAAGCAAAAGCTCTCTGAATTTATCACAGAATCAAAGCAGTTGAGTGCTGAAGAGAAGGTCAAGCTGCTCTTGAGTCTACAAGAAGGGGTCAAAGACAGCGGAGTGTCGCAGGAGCAGCCTTTGGATGACAACCAACCGAAAGGTGAGACTTGCGCTCCAGCACACTCGGCAGCTGCCAAGCCGGCGGCCCGAGCATCCAAGTCGGTACAGCGGCGGCCGAACCAGGACTACACCAAGCTAGATGATTTCCTTCCCCCTTCACAGTGGGAAGCGTTGGAACGCGCTTACTCCAGTCGCGACAAGGCAGAGGTGTTGGCGGAGTGTTGTTTTCGCATGTTGGCGCTTCGCTTACCGACGGAGCTCACATATGGCGCAATGGCTGGCATTGTTGGTCTTTTGACGGGTTGCATGGGCAACCAGTGGGCGCTGCAATGTATATTGCAGGAAGTCAAGAGCGAATGGAAAAAGGTTCGAGGTCGCCTGACACTGAGTGGCAAGTACCCAGATCCGAAAGAACTTTTGCCAGTTTTGCCCCTCACATTCGAGGATCTACCCGCGTCCATACGAGAGACCTTCGGCGAAGAGAGACCGGCTTTGCCGCGTCAGAGGTCGCTTGATGTGGATGCGATCCGTCTGGCAGCTGCCAAGATCCCTCTGCGTGGGGGAAGTTTGGTCTCAGCACCGACCATCTTTCAAAGGCTAGCGGAGGGCACTGGCCAGCACATGGTTGAGCGAGCTGGGAGGCTAACAAACCTACAGATTTTTTCGCAGCGCGTTCGACGCGATGGGGCGTTCTCCAGGAACTCTGGCGACGGCAGGCAGACGTTAATGGCTTCACCGGAGACAGAGAAGCGGTCCACCGGGAACACGACCACGCCGCGCAAGGCGACGCTGCTGGCGATCGAAAATGGACCGTCCGCACCTACGGCCCCAGAGCAAGGTATGCGGCCGCAGGGGGTTAGCCCTGTCAAACCACCTGAGCCATCGAAGATGCCGTCACACCAGTGTCCAGAGCAGCGTCTGCTAGAGGCTTTACGTGACGAGGACGCCGAGCCATCTAGACAGAAAGATGCGCAGGCCCAAGCGTTGACCTCTGCTATGATCACTGAGCTGGGCGGCCAGGGTACCGGGCATGTCATGAAACGTCCGGCCGCATTGAAGCGACCGGTCTTCGAAGAAGCCGAAGACGAGCGGGACTATCGTTGCAGAGTCCGCCGGTGAGAGTGGCCAGGGGAATATATCCTTCAGTGCGAAGCGATGGGGTTCCTGCAGGGCGGAGTTTGGTGATTGGGAGCACTGCTCCGAATCACAGGCAGATTTGCAAGAAGCTCATTCCATTTGTGAGCAAGGGTTGCTCTCGAGAAGAGCTACTTTCGCAACGAGAGTTGTTGCAGTGTTGACATGGCTGACTTGGAGAGCAAAAGGAAACGAATGCGCGGACCGCGTTACAACATGTGTTTACTCGTTTTAGATCCTGGCTTGCTGTTACTGGTAGCTGTTTCGGCTTATACGTTCTGCATACGTGAAATCTGTTCATATTTATTCTGGTATGCGCACAGACCACAAGGACGAGTGCTTCACGCTCCTTGATCAAAAGCTGAAGTGCGAGGTGGAGAGGAGAGGACATCAGCGGGTAGAGGCGTCTTGCGATCTAATTCGCGTTGTCCTGCAACAGTGTGGGTGGCATCATGGCACAGATGCTCTGCGGCTGTTTTATCTGGCTGGTCGAAGGCAGTGTCCACCATTCCCTGAGCATCGAAGATTGATTCTAATCAATCTATTGAAAATATTGATTTTGAGTCTTCAAAATCAATTCTCACAGATTGAAAATATTGAAAATGTTTTTGGAGATCAAAATCAATACAGAAATCAATATACAAATCAATATACAAATCAATATATACACACAATTTTGGACCAAAAACCGTGTAAACATCAAATGCACCAGGCTTACAATTTTGGACCTAAAACATAGTGTAAACATCACCACATGCACCAGGCTCTTTTTTCCTATGCTGAACTTCTCCAGCACCTTGTGGCCAAAAACATGCAAACCCTTTCTCAAAGGTTCCAAAGAGTTGAATTACTGTACACCTTTTCTCAAAGGTTTGGTTGTTTTCCATACCCTTTCTCAAAGGTTAGGCGCTGGTTTTCCAAGGCCCTTTCCCAAGGGTGGGCTGCACCCTTTCTCAAAGATCAAGGCTCAGGGATTTCTCAAGGCGCCCTTTCCCAAGGGTGGGCTGTACCCTTTCTCAAAGGTGTGCTTCCTCATTCTTGTGGAAGCAAGCCACAGAATCCACAAATGTCTTGAATTGTGGAATACCAGCCTTGTCAGCCCACCAGTGCCAGTGCCTGGCCTTCCTGATGGGGTACACCTGGATGCGCTGGCTGGCAGCCTCCTGCAAGATGTCTGCAGCATCATCAAACATGATGGAGCAGCCATGTGAGTTGCACAGGCTTGCCTTGGAACCAGCACCTTTGCTGATGTGGGTTGCCATGAAGGCCACCTTCCCACACCAAGGCATTTGCTCAAGGTGGTGCCTCACCCTGGCAACCCTCTCCCTCCCACCACACCAGGTGCAAATGATCACTTCATGACCCTTTTCCAAGAGCGACTCCAAGGCATCAGAACTTTCCTGGCTGATGTGGTCATTGATGGCCAGGGTGTTGTGGTAGTCCACCATGATCTTCTTCATTTTCTTCCTCTCCTCCACCTCCTGCCTGATAAAGAGGCCTTCACCTGGCTTGGGGAGGAGAGACATGGGCTGGTGCGTGCCCAAATAACCCTTTTCCAAAGGTGCGCCAGGTGTGCCTTTCATCTCACCTTCGCCCTTTTCCAAAGGTGTCTCCTCCTTCATTTCCACACCACCCTGTGCTCCCTCCTTCTCCACAGGTTTTTCCTCCTTCATTTCCACTTCACCCACCTTGTCATCCATACCCTTTTCCAAAGGTGCTTCCTTCTCCATCTCCTCATCACCCTTTTGCAAAGGTGGCCCTTCCTCATCACAGGCCTCAGGGATGGGCCTTTCTGTGATCCTCCACACCTTTCTGGTGGGTGTGGCTGATCTGCTCCAGTCTGGGCTGGAGG